AAGAATTGGCCAAGCTTCTGGGGAACAAATTTCAGGAACGTTATTTTGTCATCAAGGATCAAAAGTTGCTTCTACTCAAAGAGAAACAGGTATAGTAATCTGACAAATTTTACTACTAACAGAGATACAAAAGTGGGCAGTAGGTATAAAAAGGTTGACTATCCCTGGTGTAGGGCCTCCTCCTTGAGAGAGGCGGGGTTGGGGTGGACTAGAAAACCTCCAAGATCCCTTCCAACTTTGTTATTCTGTACTCTTGCGTTAATTTGTCAGATTACTATACCTGTTTCTCTTTGAGTAGAAGCAACTTTTGATCCTTGATGACAAAATAACGTTCCTGAAATTTGTTCCCCAGAAGCTTGGCCAATTCTTCGCGGCATTTCAAAAGACCATATTTTGGGCTCTCACGTTTAGTATCTACAGCAAAATAGAGACATTGGAAATAAGTTTTACAAAGAGAAGTTATATTTCAAATACATATACCAGGCAAATTAATTATAGAATAATTCTTTAGTAGTTATGTGAGAGACGTGTGACATCTTTTTAATTTAATAATTCTTTGCTGAATCTGAATATCTTTTTCTAAGGAAAGATGGCAATGGGAATAGACACATCCTGTGGCACTCCTGAAGATGGCTGTTAAAGGATTTGCATGCCTGCTTGTTGCTATCTGCTATAGGGCTTCTTTCCTAGACCAGAGGAGTGATTGGCCAGCCATGGAGTTCTGCTGTTAAACGATTACACCCTGGTGAAACACTGAAGGGTCACCCAGTGCCCGAGTAATGCCACACCAAGTGATTTTAATCACAATATGCAAAGAAATATAAACCAAATTGTATGAAAGAAATCCCACAGCCTCCAATCTTGGTGCCTCTTCTCCATTTCAGGAGCAATGCAAAGCAAAATGTTTTGAAATGGAAGCTTATCAAAGAGAGATCCAATCTAGAATTGAGGAGATTTCCTGTCAGAACAATTAATTAATGGAACAGCTTGTCTCTCTGAGTTGTGGGTGCTCCATTGCTGGAGATTTCAAAAAAAGATGGGACTATCATTTGTCTGGAATGGAATAGCTTCTTCTGCTTGATCAAGGGGTTGGACTAGAAGACTTCAAAGTCTGTTCCACTCTGTTCTTCTGTTATTGTGTCAATTCTGGTGTAAATACAATCATCAACATCAAAAGCATTTAAAGGGATGGGGCTGGCGTCACGATGGTATGACACATGATCTTGAAGCTCTAAGATTGCTGTCGATATCTCTGCTGCTGGATGGTCCTTTTGGACCTAAACCGTCCCGTAGAGATGGTGATAGAGAAGGGCACATCCTGCTGATCCCAGGGACACTGCAAAGTCCCCAGTAGATCAAGGAAAAGCCCTTTTTTCCGGTGGCAGAGAGGCAGCCATTAAAGCTGCTGAAGTTGGGACAGCTCCGAAATGGAAGAAAAGCTGGAGAGAACAGTGTGTCGATCTGGTGAGATAATTTTTATTCATTATTATTTGAGATTATTATTTTATTTATTTATTATTATTACACCCTAAAAGACTAAAAGTAAAATTAAATTTGAAGTCAGAAGAGGTCAAGCGGCAAGATTAAGCCTGAGTCAAACAGTGTTTTTTTAAAAAAACTCTTTTTATTGCTGGAACTATTATAAATGCTTTTTTAATTTTACTTTTAGTCTTTTAGGGTGTAATAATAATAAATAAATAAAATAATAATCTCAAATAATAATGAATAAAAATTATCTCACCAGATCGACACACTGTTCTCTCCAGCTTTCCATCCATTCTGGAGCTGTCCCAACTTTCAGCAGCTTCAATGGCTGCTTCTCTGTGGCTGGAAAAAAGAGCATCTTCTTGAACTA